TCCGCGAAAGAATCAAAATAGCACAAGATCGCCAGAAAAGTTATGCAGATAATCGTTGAAAGCCGATCAAATTTTGTGTAGGTGATTTTGTGATGCTGAAAGTTTCGCCGTGGAAGGGTATCATCAGATTTGGGAAAAAGGGTAAGCTCAGTCCAAGGTATATGGGGCCATTCAAAATATGTAAGCGAATTGGGCCAGTAGCATATCAGTTAGAGTTGCCAGAAGAGCTGAGTCTGATTCACAACACTTTCCATGTGTCGAATCTTCGGAAATGTTTGGCTGATCCAAATTTAGTTGTACCGTTGCCAGAGATTAAATTATTCAGTATGCTGAACTTTGTGGAAACACCAGAAGTTGTTATTGAACAAATATCAAGGTGTTGAGAAACAAAGAGATAATTCTGGTTAAGGTTCAGTGCAAGTTTCACAAAGGACCGGAAGCAACATGCGAATTGGAGTCAAAGATGAGATCAGAATACCCTTGGCTTTTTTATTAAAGGAATTCCGGGACGAAATTCTTTTGAGGGGTGGATAATGTGATAACTGGATCTTGGTTATCACCCGAGGTAATAAATACGTGATTATCTGATTAAATGATTATGTGATAGCATGATAAATTTGTTTTATTTGATCATGCTAGTGTGTTGAAAATTATGTGCATAATGTGAATGCATGTATGAGATTATTTGTATATGTAGAAGTATATATATATATATATATATATATACACACACACATGCATGTTATGAGAATGCATGGTGTGTGGGTGTGTGCATATGGCCGACTCTCCTGTTAAGGAGAGGTATAAAAGGAGGGTTTGACCCCCATTTTATCTTCTTGGCTATTCTGATAAATTGAGCGATTTAGAAGGGAAAGCTTGCCCGAATTTTCTTACTTTTGCATTACAAGAAGGTTATTTTCAAAAGGCTTGATAAGGTGAGTGATTTCTAAACCTTTTTGCATAAAATTTGTTACTGGTTTTATTTGAATGTTGTTTATTATTGAAAAGAAATCAGTTATTTGCTTAAGGGTTTTATTCGGATAAAGGGTAATCGGATTGTCAAAATCAGACAAAGCTCGTCCGGATTATTCTTAAATCGGACAAGGGTTGGGCGATTAAGCCCTAAACCGGTCAAGTGTTAAGCGGTTTAGTTTTAAACCGATCAAGCATTGAGCGATTTATGAATGTTAAGTATAGTAAACATTTTGAACGGAGAAGTATGAATACGACCATGTGGTGATCGGATTGTTTTAAATTGGACAAGTCTTAGGCGATGTATTGTCCGGACTTGTTATTCGGACAAAAGTATTGGAAATGATTCCAAGTGTTAAATCGGACAGGCCTTGGGCGGTATATTGTCCGGATTTGGTAAATCGGTCAAGA